CCTATCCCCCCCCCCCCCCACCCACCTTTATTTTCGAAAGTAAATAATAAAATAAATATTCAAAATTTAGTCGCTATTTCGATATATTTTGGTTTCCATTTCTGCACATTAATGGTAATAATCATTATTGGTTCACATATATGTTTTTTTCTTGAATGTGAAAATAAAATATCATATTCAATTTGTCCGTTTGGTTCATAAGTAGGTCGATTGCTTTGACCCAATTGGACAACGTGACCGAAACCGCGGGAACAAGCACGAGCTCGAGATTAGCCAATCGAAATAAGGAACACATAATATGACGTCACGTAATGGCAGCCACAGGATATGGGTTAACTTTGGTAAGTTTTATTTAGACTTGTTTCGAGTCTTTAAACAGATTTACTTACAATTAACTGGAAATCGCTAAGTAGTTAATGAACCATTCTAACCACATGCTGAATTTTGTGACTTCTTCTCGTCCCCAGCCAAAGTTATTACGCAGATTCTTTCGTCTTTCCAATTGAAATATTTTGACACGGCGAGACAAGAGCATTGCGATGTAGACACTTTATGTTGGTCTTCTATTTTTTCCTGTACAAATTTTACATTAACCTAAGTATTAAAGAAGAATTTAAAAGCATTCTACGTGACATTCTGAGGCTTTTTATTAGAGGTCACTTATCGTCGAAATTGTCAACATTCCATAGTTGATAACGGTTTCTTACATATTTTGTTTGTTGTTGTGTGTGGTGAAGTAAACAGAAAACGAAATATGATTTTATAACTCAAAACTTTATGAGTATCGGTGTATAAAGTCAGTAATATAAAAGAAATTTAATAACATTGACAATTTGATATATTTAACTTTAAAGTGAACCCCAATTTAAGGTTTTTGTTTTTTTATATAGGCTATGGGCCTATTATAAAAAAAATATGGTAACAAAAATTAAATGATTGAGCCATTTGAGACTGGATGTAATTTTTGTATTTTATGTCCTGCATCTGATTAAGCTGATGAAAATGGGCAATACCATACAATGACCGATTGAATTCTGTCTAACTATTGTATCCTTTAAAAGACTTTAAATT